AGCAGCGCGGCGAGCGCGGCCACGAGTGCTAGCAGCGGCTGCGGCGGCGGGCGAAGCTGACTGTCTGCGTCTGCGTCTACTACCGCCCGGGACTGGACCTCGTGCGCGCGCCTTGTGAATTTTGAGAGTAGAGGGCGGCCGGTAAAAACTCCCTGTATGTTGTTGCTGCTGCACGTACTTGGTCCAGTTGATGAGTGTGAATTGGCAAGGACGGAAGGAAACGGAATGGGTAGGTAGTAGTTGGATACTTGGATTGTTCAGAGGAGGACGTCGGACTTGGCGGGGAGTCGCTTGTAGAAGTTGAAGGGGACGGATGGCGAGCGCGACCGCGAGTGCTAGCAGCGGCTGCGGCGGCGGGCGAAGCGGCGGCTGCGGTTGCGGGCGAAACGGCTGCGGCGGCGGGGAAGGGGTGGGGCGAGGCGGAATGCGGCGGCTGTGGACAGCGGGGATGGGCAGTGAGCGGGCGGTGTCCGTGGTGGTGGGGAGGAAGATGAGGAGGACGATGATGGCGGTGACGGCGAACGGACGACGCCGTGGCTGACACGGGCGTGCGCGGCGCGGGCGGTGGACGACGACGATGCCGACGACGGACGGACGCTGGCGCGACTGACACTGGCGCCGGCGCCGGCGGTGGCGGACCCTCCCTCCGCGCCCATCGAGCCATGGACGACGACTACGGCGACGATGGACGCCGACGAGGATGGACAATGCCGGTGACGGACAGTCGCCGGCGCGGCTGACATGGTGTTGACGTAAAACACAAGGCCTGGGAGATCTGCTTAACTCTAGTCCAGGTCCAAAACTCGCCTTCGGGTATGCTAGCGTGCCAGTTGATTTGATCCTGCAATCAACAAGAAATAACGACAAAGAAACCGCAGTTAAACCTATAAACGATAGCCGATCGGCTAAGCGCCGATGACGTATCATTTATCTTTGAGCCGATGTCATATGTAAATCGATCGGTGATTATGAATAGATAATAAAGAGCTAAATCTACTTGATTGGCTGTAGATATTAACAATATATAGTTCTTATATCGATATATACTTAAATCAAGTGATTGGGATAGATCGGTCGCCATGCCTAGACAATATAAATCACTTAGATCGAAATATATATTAATAACGGGACTATATGTGTTTATAGCATAGCCGATCAGATAGATCTAGCATGTATCGGCTAATACTCTGATACGACTCTATGTTAAGATGTTAAAACAAGCAAAATATACCTAACAGAAGCTTAATATACTTATATGCAATAAAATCTTGACATAAAGGGAAAATTTAACGTGTTAATGAAGCATACAGAGCAAATATAGTTAAATCAGATAAGATCGGCTGAAACTCCAATACTACCCTAATCGGCAACCAGAAGGCAGGCTAGGGATTGATATTCTAAGCACGACTTAATAGATCAAACTCAACTGATACAGCATTAAGTATGAAAAGAATAACAATATCTAGATAATCAAACCGCTGGAAGTTTCATAGAGTGGTGGATATCTTATATAATCTAAGTCAACATCGATGCTTAACCTAATCGGCTGCCCTCTACCGACAGATGTTAGCCGATAATAGGTTAAATAGCGATATCGCCGGAGATTATGTAAGATATATGATAACTCGATGAATTACATAAACAAGATTAGAGTATCATAAAGATGGAAGCACTAATCACGAGAATGCAAACCGTCGTAACAAGTTTTACCTCTTGTTGAAGATCGAAACCGATGCAGCTCAACCCGAAAGCAAGAACTCGTCGAAATAAAACTAAAGCAAAAGGGTGGCGATGCGCCGAAATTGTATTGAACGTGTGTGTTAATTGATTACATGGGGTTCGGGGTCTATTTATACCCGAAAATTACAAACTATGTCCATATTGGACACGACTCTTATTTCTAACAAACTCTAAGATACCATAAGTCTTTACGGCAGACTTTTGCCCAAACATATCTCTAAGGAGATTACATAAAATATCCTAATTAATAGATACAATTGCCTTCTCAGGACTCTATCCATGTGCGGCAACCATCTTGAAGCACCTCAATTCAACCCGATGTCGTACACCAAGTCGTATTGTCGGAATCGGCTGTATCAGCTTACCCAGTCTGACTCGGACCCAGGCGATCCTAATCGTAGCCGATCTGGACTCCAGCCGATTCTTGCTCTGTTCTCGAATCGATCTCCGCCTTTGATTTTGCTTCGATCTAATCCTCTTTTCCGATGTAGATATTACCAAATTTGGTCGTTAACACACGGGCGCCGGCACGGGCGGTGGTGAACGGCGCCGGGCGGAGAAGACGACGACGCTACAGACGGAAGAGACGTAGTGGCACGGAATGAAGGAAATTCGTGCTCCGATGGCGTATTCTGAAAGTAGCACGAATTGGGTGGCATATCCTGAAAGTAGTGCGAATTCGATGGCATATTATGAAAATTCTCCTCGAACTAACGCACCGTCGCTCACTCGCGGCTGCCACAAGCTCTTCCAATCCGGACCTCCCCCTGTCGCTGGGCGGCTCAACGCCCCGCCCACCCGCGGCCGTATTTAGAGCAAGTTTAATAGTATAGCCAACTTCTTGCTCCAAATTATCTATAGCCAACTTAATAGCTAATTCATACAATAATTACCTATAAATATATACTACACAATCAATATATGGTCCCACCTGTCATACACACATGCGTCTTGTAGTCCGTGCTGCAACTGGCTACAAATCTGTAGCCCGTTGCTCTTATCTCTCCTCTTTTATCTCCTTAAATTATGTTTATAGCTGGTTTATAGTCTGCTATTGTACCTGCTCTTAGTCTCCCTCGCCATCCCTCGACACGTGGTTTACATTATTAGTGATTATAGTGAAGTAATCTACCCTATAATTCACCAATTGGATCTTGCACCTACATTACTCATTCATCAAATCCAACGCACCGTATTCATCCACATGCAATCGAATGATCCAAATCATCCCACGCGCAGCCTCCCGACCTCCCATCCTCTCTCTCGCACACGCTCCCATTCTCTCAATCTCTCTCTCTCTCTCTCTCTCTTGCACTCACCTAGATACCCTATGCTCGCGCCGCCGCAAGCCTGCAACCATCGGATCCCTCCCCACCGCGCCATCTCCACACCCGCATCGCCTCGAGATCTAGTTCCTTCGCCGTCGACATCTGTTCATGGTCCACGTCCACACCGCGGCTCACATCCTTGGACGCGAGCCACCAGCAACAAGGCATTTCTACTTCAGGTTGGATAATTGTATTATCTATTCTATTTGTGCAATTCAATGGAAATGTTCATAAATTAGTTCTGAATTGAGACTATCTGATTCATGCTCTGCATGTTGTTTTATATATTACTACCCTTCAATGCGACTATGATGTCAATTATATATCCATATGCATAACAACTGATGTCAAGGGTTTATGATTTTTTTCTCCATGTCCAATTAATTGTACAAATGTGAATAGCATGCTTTAAAATTTGCTCATGGAAACTATATATTTGTTGTGCATGATTGATAAGTGATCAAGCTCGATCAGATTAAGTGATCAACTCACTTCTGAGTTCTGACGAGGATAATGCTCTGTGTCTTGTGCATTATGGTACAGGAGATTAATGCCTTGATCCTTGAGTAAATAACTCCGTGTAGTTCAGATGGGTTACTTTTTTGTGATGGTTGATCTTTTAATTCTTGAGTGCTTAGGAATTAAACAATATTTTTAGATAAAGATGAATGTTCAAAAATCATTAGTTTACTGAAGCAGTCGAGGGAGATGCTGTTCGGTGTGAGCTTCTTTGATGCGGACCTGACAGATTGTAAAACTGTGCTCTTATTTTTTTTCTATTCTGGTAGTTTCATCCAGATGGTGAAGTTCCGAAATGAAGGAATCCTTCGTTCCCAGCAAAAGGAGTTTTAGGATGTCGATTACATGTGATTTTTGTTGAATTTCTTTGGAATATTTTCCAAGCTAGGAAATGCACGGCACTTATCAACTTCACTATACTGAAGAGAGAAGATGAAGAATGGCTTGCTGAGCACCGTCTCTGCCATTGACAAATTTGAATGGAGTGTTCAATATTGTTTAGGTATCTATAATTTTCTAGAAGCACCTTTGACTCTTTGAGGCTTAAATAATTTCAGAGTAACCTAAATATACCCACACGGTAAAGTTTGCGTTCCTTTCTTCATCAGTACCTATTGCTGTCTGACCAGTTTGTATGTTTGATTCGACGTGTTCTATTTATGGTAACAATGGTCATTCCATGACAGGGTAAATGAAAAATATCAGAAGTAATTAGGGAGGTTTTAATTGTAGAAGGCTATCCTTTTCTCTCTCTTTTTTTAAAGTTCACTCATTCCCTTCTAGGGAATATCTTCCCCATGTACTTTAGACTTATGGTTTGTTAGGCATATCTCATTACCTATAAAACTTATGGTTTGTACTTTAGACTTATGGTTTGTTAGGCATATCTCGTTACCTATAAAACTAAACTAAACTAAAACTTAATGGAATATTTTCTTCCGTTTGATCTTAATTTGATTACTCTAATCGATAGTTATTAAATAAACTATGATTATTCGGAAGCTATTGTGCGTTACTAGATAATAGGCAAAACAATACATTTTTTATCGGCAAGACTTTCTCTATTAGGCCACCTTTGATTCAAAGAAAATTCATAGGAATTTTAGAGGATTTTATTCCTATAGAAATTTTTCCTATATAGCTCTTTGAATTAAAGGAATAGATCTTATGGAATCCTATGAAATTCCTATGGATTGCCTAATGCCATGCAAGTTTTGGAGGAATTCTAACATGAGGTAAAACCTCTTGGAAACTTTCCTTTAAGTCTTTATCTCTCCTCTAATTCCTGTGTTTTTCCTGCGGTCCAATCAAACGACCATTCCTGTGTTTTTTCTGTGTTTTGCAATCCTCTGTTTTACACTTACATTCCTATCAAAATTCTGCGTTTTTTCTATTCCTATGTTTTCTCATTCCTGCGATTCAAAGAGGCCCTTAACTTGAACTGAATGTTGCTATACAGGTCACATACTCACATCTATGTTTGAAATTTGAACGGTGATGAAGTCCTCAAGCAATCAGGGAAGATGAAAAAAAAAGCGTAATTATCAATGGACTTAAATGCCCTGTTTAGTGATCTGGTCATCTGGAAAAGCAGAGGCTTCTACCAAGTACAATCTGCAGCATGGTGTGCCATCCTCTGGGTTTGTCTCCACTGATCTTGGCAATCTCCTCAGTTTATCAAACAGGTTCTGCGGGTGACTTAGCAGCCCAAAATGTGCTTGTGGATCTCCAATTTGTGACAAAGTTACCTGAGAGAACCCAATGGAAGGCAGCAGGAGATCAGGGCTGTCATGGTAGAAATGGTACATTGCCCGAGAGAGCGATACTGCATTCTTGTTCATGAAGTCAGCCAGGAGGACAGTGTGGACTGAGGTGCGGCAGGCCACAATGGTTTCGAGGACTTGCATTGCATGGACATGGTGAAGGTAATAGAGGATGCCTTCAAGAACCCATATGGTGTTCCTTTCAGGAACATAGCCGTAGCTCTGTAGCTTGGTGATCCAGTCTCCATCTCGGATGTCGGCAGGAACCCTAGTCAATGATTTTGCCATCATGGTGAGTTTCTGATTATTTGCAGAGCTCATTGCTTCGTGAAGAAGATCTGTTTTCATTTCTAGGAGCTCCGGGAAGTCAAGTTCAAATACCGTGCACTCCTTCAGGCAGCTCAGTCGATAAGCTCTCGCATCCATCCCTACAAATTCATTTTTTTTTCCAAGTCAGTCTTTTTCTCACTAGGAACAGATGTACGAATGTATAAACTTTGTAAGAAATAAAGTCCCTTCTTCAGCTGAAAAAGGTTGTATCTCTTGTTACAGAAGTTTTTTGTGAAATTCTTGAGAAAACTACTATAATCTTTTCGCCATCTTTGTTGAATTCAGTCGTCTTTGTATGGGTTGTTATCATGCCGTGCGTGCAAATGAAATACCAGAATGTGCATAGGCAATAGTAGCCTTGGTAATTCCTGGTAAATTTATTTTAATGCGCATGGTTGAATCCCAAAATATTTGAGCACAGAGTTTTTGACACATTCTCATGTACTGCCAATTTTCATTTTGTTTTCCAGATTAGCACACCAATAGTGATGAAGTTGATGTTGAAACCTTATGCAGTTGAGTGTAATCCTCATCCTGGGTTAATAAAATTCAAAAGTTCTCATGGTGTACATCGTGCCAAACAGCTAATAATGCGATGAAGGGATCTAACAGCAAGTGTCAATATGAAAGGGAGGAGCAAATATAAATATCAGGCATTCACTGTTTGAAGCTGACGTGCTATGTGGAGTCCAGACAAACAGTACTATGAAAGCTTGAACGTCCTACTCCTGCATCCCCACATTGTTGGATAGCTTTGTTCTTGCTGTTATGTTGCCGGGTGTCTTCATTTCCAGCCACAATTATTTCTCTGTTTTTTTTCCTTTAGTCCAAATGTACTTAACACTTATGCAAGTTTATGTTAAATGTCGGCATTCCGTAACGAGACCAAAGTTTTTTTCTTTATTCTTTCTCTTTTTTAAAAAAAATCCTGGCAAGTTGCTTGTTGCCACATAATTAAAAATGGACAACGTGGAAGAAGACCCGCCAATTGTCCACGCATGAATATAGTTCATGTTTGCAAAAGCTCTATTAATCAGTTGCCTATTAGTGTACAAAGCTGATAAATGTTTATGTTCTAATATATGTATTTGTATGGCATGATGTATATACCACTGTACTGTAGTATTAGCACACATCTGTACAAATACAATACGTAGAATACATACGTATTGTAACACTAAACTTCAGTACTGTACGTTGCGCACACATACTATTCCTGAGCGTGCACAATACTAGTACTATCATAATAATTGCATTTCTACCCTTCAAATTTTGTCCCAAAAAATTGAATTTCTGATAAAATGGGATCCAACAAGTGGAATCTGTATCCCAACATTCCTTTTAATTAATTTTACATATTGAAAGTGTGTCTCAACCTTCAATTTTATTCAATTTTAATCAGGTAGTTATTAAATATGGTTATCGTAGTAAATTGTGTTTTTATTAATTTATCTCAAATATCTTAAAAATATAATTATTATGGGACGAAGGTTACTAATTAAGTACGTACATGTTACATGCATGTCAGCATATGCATGCACACACAGTACATGCCTGCATGATCATAGCAGATGAGGATAGCTTAGGTTTTGTGTTTAATTACGAAATCAATTACCAGCGCCGAGGAGGACGACCTGGGCGGCGCCGCCGAGGCTGGCGACGGCGGCCTCGACGCGGGCGTCGAACCAGAGCGTGCGGACGGCGATCATGACGCCGTGCACCTCCCTCGCCCCGGCCTCCTCGTCGCGCCGCATCCGCTCCCGGAGCGCCGCCAGGAACCTCCCCCCGGCGAGCACCCCGGCCGCCGGGTCGCGCACCGCGCGCCCCCACAGCGCCCTCGCCGCCGCCGTCTGGCACGCGCTCTGCATCACCGGCCCCCACTCCGCCTCCACCCGCGCGTGCAGCGCCCTCACCCCCTCCCCCTCCTCCTCGCCGCCACCGCCATTGACGACGACGACCTCGCTCGCCGCCGCCGCCGCCGTCACCTTCTCCCTCTCCTCTTCCTCCTTGGACATGGCATGCACACAGCCACACGTACTAAAACCTCTCCGGTGAATTTACACGGAAGTAGTGTGGGCCATTTTAAGGTGGTAGTAGGCTAGTAGCGAGGAAGAGATAAGAAAAGAGGGCCACACGTACATGAGCTAGTTTTTTTTTTTTTTTTTTTTTTTGGCGGGGGAGAGCTTTAAATTGTGTGCACATGTAATGGGTCGGGGCACGGGTGGTAGGCGGGTGGTGCGCGATTTTTCGCCGGGCTCTCCTTCGATCGACGATCGCCTCGTGCGATCGACGTGCGCGCGCGGACTGTGGCGCGACGGCGACGTACGGCGGGTGATGCGGTCAGTTTATTAATGGCGCGTAGGAGGGGGAGGTATAGCAGAGGCTGGAGCTGTCGCGGTGGGAGGACCGGAGGAGGAGAAGACAAGCACGTGCGGATTTATTATAGCTAGCTGTGCTGTTAATCTCCATCGATCGTACGCCTCCGGCCGCCGCAAAACGTCACTACTTAAAAAAACCATCTGCAACCCTTTACTTATTCCGAATTGCTAAGCTTCTGTCGACAGAAAATGCATCTCAAATATTGCAGATTTTGAATCACCGGATGTGCTTCACGATTCATGCTTCTGGTGCTTCTTTTCCAACTCCAGCGACCTCCTCTTCTTCTTCGGTGCTTCGGTGCCGATGACAACCCAAACTTCGGCGGAGGATCAATGAATTAGGGTCCCGGGGTGGAGAAGGGGAAGAAGGGGGAGGTCGCCGAGTTTAAATGGATGGTCATGGGAGGCAGTGGCCCGGCGGTGGGCGGCGAAGTGGGTGCGCGGTGCCACCGGAGCCGCAGGGATGAAAGAGGGCAGCGAGCCGACATTGGTGGCGGACCGGGGGCATCTCACCGTCGGTAGCTCAAGGAGGGAGGAGATGGGAGAGGGAAGAGGGGGGAGGGGGAGGAGGCCGGCTGAGAGGGCCTCGCCAGTGCCGTTGATGCCTTCTCGGCCAGCCGGCGAGGCCCGGTGGCAGCACACTAGAGCGGCGAAGCAATGTCGGGAGAAAGGAAGATAAGGAAATTTTTAGGGTTGGGTTTCTTTGCACGAATCTTAAAATAATTGGGTGGTTCATAATTTACAAGATTCATACTGATGTCAATATGATATTTTAAATACCCGTCTATAGTATATAGGTATGTTACTATGATAAGCTCAACAACATAAACTACGTCATCCAATACTATGATATTACTATTTAGTCTTTTTTGTTATTTGTGCATGGGTTCTAACAAAGTCCCACCTATGATCTTTGCCTCCCCCTCTCCACCCTCCTCTCTCCTGGAACTCAATCTCCTGCTCTCCTCCCTCTCTTCTCCCAACTCACCTATCATTCTTTTGTTTAATCCGTCGTCTCTCCCTCTCTAATTTATTGTTTTGGTAGATTGAATAGTACATATGTTTATTTTGGTTAAATTGGTAATACCGATGCTAGAATTTGTGAAAATCCATAACATTCTTCACTATATTTTCACGTTTTGGATCCATGTTGATAGCGGACCAAATATGACCGAATGTAGTTTTTATCTTACCAAAGAATTGATTGTGGAAACTTGCTACCAAAGAATTAGTACCGTAAAGTAGTATTCCAAGTAGGCCCCATATGTTCTTTTTGAACTTTGCTTCGCTTGATACTAACAAAAATCGGTTTGGAACCTTCCGGACTGAAGATCAGTCACCCTGTTGGTGACATGTCCAGCTCAGCGAACGGCTGCATCTCCCTGAAAGAAAAACGACATCTCCCCTGCTTTGTTTCATGATTACTCAATATAATTTTTAAAAGCACCACTTTTAGTAATAGAGCATGAGGATTGAGGGTTCAAATTAACCTATGCCGAGAGAAGTGCTAAAACCAAGCTAGGTGTTACAAATGGATTTCAATTATTTTCTTCAATTCTTTATTCAGAGCCCTCCAATTCAAGACACTGGACAAAGAGGTATTCTTGTTTGTTTGTACACGCTGAAACTTTGTTTATGTCAGCTAACCAGTTCCCTTCCCTTTATACAAACAGCAATGCAAGAATTTCTCAAATTCACGATGGAATTATAATGCTTGCCAAGAAGTTATTTTTTCAAATATAACCTAAGGTTCCACTAGAATAAAGAAAATTCATCAAGGCCTCCTTTGGTTACTCCCTTCCCCCTTTAGTCTACTTTTTATAGGGATTAACCGAACAAACCCTAAGGAAAAAAATCCTCCTTTCAAAAAAAGCTTTTTCTCAATGCAACTTAAATTTTTTAAAATGAAACAACTCAAATTTGCACAAAACTGAAGAAAATTGTTGTGTTTTCAGTTTTCACTAGTCACTAACCAACACATCTAGCTCTTCAAGCACAAAAAGGTAAATAAAAACGTACACACAAAAATAGAAAGAACTAGTAGTAATAAATGAGAGACTTGATAATTTAATACTTCTTAACATGGGTTTTGATTATTTGATATCTTGACCCATTTTCATTCACTCATATGGTCCCACATATCATTCTCACAAGTGTCAATTAAAACAATTCAAAAAAGAAGTTCAAATTACTCCATCAAATTTCTCACAAAGTAAAGCCAGTAACAACAGTAACCAACTTGCTCTTCCCCCATTTCATATTTTCATTTCCTCTAACTTGCAACTCCTCCTCTCCAGTACTCTCCACAGTCCACGCCAACCACCGCCCACCGACAGCCGCGCCCCCACCCACCGCCACCGCCGCCGACGCCGCATGACGGTGTCGCGCGGCCCGCCGGGGCGGCCGGCGGCGTCGTCGGGCTGCCTCGGGTGCTGGAGGAGGCGCCCGCCGCTGGGGTTCGGCGCCAAGGTCACCATCGCCATCGCGCTCGGCCTCTCCTTCGCCATCGTCTGGACCTCCCTCTCCCCGACCTCCTCCTCCCAGCAGATCTCCACCGAGCGCTCCTCCTTCGCCGCCGACATCGTCGACCCTCCCCCCGCCTCCCACAACCATACTGCCACTACCACCACCGCCGCCGCCGCCGCCGGCGGCCACAGGAAGCCCCGCCCCACTACCTCCCGCAGCCACAAGAAGCGCCATCCTCCCGCCGGATCCCACCCCCACCGCCCCAATGCCACCGCCTCGCCGGATTCCACTCCGGCAAACGCGGATCACGCCGTGCAGTCAAAACCCGCCGAGCCGGAGCCGGAGCCAGGGACTGAGCTAGAGGAGGAGGAGGTGGAGCAAGATCAGGAGGAGAAGGAGGCGGAATTGCCCATGCCCGAGGAGAGCGGAGACGGGAAGGCGCCCGAGGAGGAAAGCGAGAAGGCGCCGGAGCTGGAGCTCGACGAGCTCAGCGAGGGAGACGGGTACGGCGAGGAGGCGGAAGAGGGGCAGAAGAAAGCTCCAAAGAAGACGAAGAAGCAGCCGCCCTTGTTCAGCTCGTCTGCACATTACCACTGGAAGCACTGCGGCGCCAAGAGCGGCCACCATTACATCCCTTGTGTGGATTTTGATGGGGATGGGAGCCAGAGGCACCGCGAGCGGAGCTGCCCGAGGTTGCCGGCGACGTGCCTCGTGTCAATGCCCAAGGAGTATAAGCCGCCTGCTCCGTGGCCGGAGAGGAAAGAGAAGGTGGATCACATAATTCATAGTTGGACATTGATAGTGGATTGATATCTGAAGTTGTTCTTTTGGTGATTGTTGGCATGCTTGCAGGTTTGGTATGGGAATATTGGACATCCTAGGTTGTCAAGTTATGTTAAGGGTCATGGCTGGTTGAACCGGACTGGCGATTACTTGATGTTCCCACCTGATGAGTGGGAATTTAAAGGTGGATCAAGGCATTACGTCGAAGCAATCGATGAGGTAACAAATCTGTTCCCCTTAGATGCAACCTTTGGGTTTCCTTGGAAAGAATTCCCATGGGAGGATTGTTCCATTGCTGGGGCATTTGGCCATGGATGATGAGGAATTGCTGGTCTACAAGTACATGGCAAAGAGAGACTTGACTACCACATTGCACACGAGTACTTACTGGCCACCATTGTCAAAATACCTTGATACGGTTTTCTTCACATTGTCTTTTATCCTGCAATGTGGCCAAGGATATCAAGTAGGTTGATCCATAAGCCAAATTGTTTTTTGATGTGAGCACCGAGTTTACACTTGAAATTTTGTACTAGTGGTATAGTTCATGGTGTTTCAATGATGTTTCTTTCAAGAATATTTTCCATAAATATTTGCATGATGTTTAAGGAGTGGATGGACTTTCCTTTGAGAATTAAAAGCCAGTTAGAAACCGAATGTGAAAACAATATTTGGCTGATAAAGCAAATATGTTGTGCATGTTTACTATTGACCATAATGTGTAGTCTGTAGATGATGGTTGATGGCTAGTTGTGACTTTAGATTATTTTTGTCGGATAGGAGGATATAGCTGAACAGTCACAAGTAAAATCACACTCCCTTCCAACTTGAAATTTGTGCATTAATTGATGCCTACTCTGATTTCTGAAGGGTGATTGCTAGGTGGCTTTCTCAAATGAAAAGTTTGTTTCCATTGATCTGTGTTCCGTGTCCTGGTTAAAATGATGTGAATTCATATGTTCAATTTGTGTATGAAAAACTGCAATTACATTGAACTGCATGTTGCTTTATTCATTCTTCTAGGCATTCCATTTGTCTTAATGCCTAACACAATCTGCACATCACTTCTTTTGTCACTTAGATGGCACCTGACATTGACTGGGGTAAAAATATTCGAGTAGTACTGGATATTGGATGCAAGAGTGCTGGCTTTGGTGTCGCTCTACTTGAGAAGGATGTGATAACACTATCTTTAGGTCTTACGAATGATCAAACTGACCTTGCACAAGTTGCCCTTGAACGTGGCATCCCTGCAACAGTTGGCAGTCTTGGATCAAAAAGGTTACCCTTCCCTAGTGGTGCATTTGATGCTATCCACTGTGGTGATTGCAACATACCATGGCATTCTAATGGTATGTGCATGCTGTTGCATTACTTTTTATTGTACATAACGATACTATCTTTTGTTACATCGTAAGCAATTACATGTATTCCATGGTTTAGGTGGAAAGCTTCTCCTAGAGATAAATAGGATCCTTCGTCCAGGAGGATACTTCATTATATCAAGCAAACATGGTGACCTTGAGAGTGAAGAAGGTATGTTGAAGTTTTATATTTGTAGAAAAACCTGGAATGACTCTAATTTTGATGCCATTTTAATTTATAGAAGCATATGCAATTGTGCATTTCCATGTCATGTATGTTTGAGTTCCTAATATTATTCTAACTAGGAAAATTAGCTTAACCTTTTATATTCTTATTCACATTCCTCCCAATTTTCTTTTCCAGGAATATCAGCTTCAATGACTGCTATATGTTGGAATGTAATAGCTTACAACAGTGATGATGTCAGTGAAGCTGGAGTGAAGATATTCCAACGACCACCTTCCAATGATGAATATGATCTGAGAGCAAAAAAAGATCCACCATTTTGTAAGGAAGACCAGAACAAAGCTCCTGCATGGTAAGACGATTACTTGGACGGCATGACTACATCATTTCATTGAGATAAATGTTTTTCCTGTAAGCCTGTACAATGGTAAGTTTGGTTTTCCCTTTTAGGTATACTCTGATCAGACATTGCCTGCATAAAGCTCCTGTTGGCATTGAAGAACGAGGCAGTGAATGGCCTGAAGAGTGGCCCAAGAGGATTGAGACTTTTCCTGAGTGGCTTGGGGACTTGCAAACAAGGGTGGAAGCTGATCATAAACATTGGAAGGCTGTTGTTGAGAAATCATATCTGGATGGATTGGGAATTGATTGGTCAAATATCCGAAATGTTCTGGATATGAGAGCTGTATTTGGAGGGTATTCTTCTGCTTTCTAACTACTGATTGACGATAGATTAATAGAATTGCTCTGAGTAATAATATGCAACTATGCAGTATTACTTTAAAAATAAATAGAGAAAATATGTAATGAATCAGCTGTGACTGTTTCCTTGCAGATTTGCTGCTGCACTGGCATCGAAAAAAGTTTGGGTCATGAATGTTGTTCCTGTTCATGCTCCGGACACTTTACCCATAATCTACGAGCGTGGGCTGATTGGTGTCTACCATGATTGGTGTGAACCATTTAGCACATACCCAAGGTCATATGATCTTCTACATGCTGACCACTTGTTCTCACGCTTGAACAACAGGTATGTCATAGAAATACTAGTCTTTCTTGGGCTTCATATGATATTTAGTTTCATCTTGTTATTGGAAGCCGCTTATTTATGCTGTATGACTGTATCTCATGGTTCTTTTGGAGAGTTCTTTTATGGTCCTTGGGAATGTACAGAGGTATATGTACCTCGCACAACCAAGGACCATTAAAAAAAATCTCTTTTAGGACACATCATTTTGCATAAGTTCCAAACTCACCGAAACATTGAGCATCTAGCTTCTATGTCCTGATGCATGATAATTAAAGTAATGCTTGATATGCTATTGCTTGAATTATGTAGATGCAAGCAACCTGTCTCAATCGTGGTTGAGATGGACCGAATTTTGAGGCCTGGAGGTTGGGCCATCATCAGAGAGAAGCTTGAGATCCTTGATCCATTAGAGAAAATTCTGAAATCATTGCATTGGGAAATAGTGATGGCATTCAGGAAGGACAAGGCGGGCATCATGTCTGTAAAGAAGACGACTTGGCGGCCATGATCTAATCTGTTGATACGAGTCTCCCGACATACCAATTTTGAAGTGGTACAGGCGTACAGCTATTGATTTCTTAATCTGGGTTAAAGATACACGATTGATTCATTGTTTGCACCAACAATATGCTAGCCATCTACTACCTGTTGTAGAATACTTCTGGAGCATCCCAGTTCCAGGCGCGAGGAAGAGACCCTGAAATTCAGGCTGGATACTGAAAAACAGGGTTGTACAAGCTGTAACATTTAGCAATTGTTTGTATTTCTTGTAAATTGTAACAATATGTAAAGATTGCAACAATTGCTTGGTGCTGTTTAAAATTGTAAAAATGTGTGAATACTGTACGTAAGACGAGAACAAAACCTTTTCCTGTATTACTCTCTGCACTTGCTCTTCCACAAGAAAGCATGCAACTCAAATTGCATGTAAAATGTTGGAATACAAACAGTGTTTCCTACTGTCCATTCTCTTGTACCTGTGATCCACATTGTATTTCAGAAAAGCAGCAATTTGTCACATGAAATTTGCCTCAGGCTTTATCATCATGAATTCACATGATCATGCAACCATTTAGCATGCAGAAACTGAAAAGACTTAAGAACAAGGGTTAATTGGATCCATGCCATTATAAATTCTTCAGTTTTGACATATACCATTACTACGCCATTATAATTTTTCAGATATTGAAAATATACCAGACCTCTAAATAGTTGAATAGTATGACATATATCAAAAGTGAAGAATTTATAATGGCATAAATCCAATTAACACGAACAAAAGAAATTGCAATTCATGATGTACATATGAATGGTTTAAGAGCAAACCAAGATTTTTGATACTACAGGGTCAGGACCACAGGACTATGATTTTTGCCTTCAAAAATTTCAATCGAAGTATACTTTACCTTTTTCTTTTTAGGTCCTTTATATGTTTTTAAATTTCGTACGAATTTTATTACATAAGAGTCTCTCATCGGATTGTTTCAAAACCCCCCAAAACCCAAGGGCTAATCGGGCAACCTCCTTCCCCACGCCGCCGCCGCCGCGATGCCTCCTCCCTTCCCGACGGCGACCGCCGCCGCCTCCACCACCTCCCACCTCGCCCTCCTCCTCCTCCTCTCATCCTCCTCCGTCTTCTTCCTCTACAAGTCCCTCCGCCTCCGCCGCAACAACCCACCATCCCCTCCTCCGGGCCAGGGCCCCGCCCCAACCCCGACCCTCCTCTACGCCTCCGCCACCGGCACCTCCAAGGCCCTCGCCGCCGGCCTCTCCCGCCGCCTCGCGGAGGCCGGCGTCACCGCCCACCCCGCCGACGCCGCGGCCTTCGACCCGGACGACCTCCCCTCCCTCCCGCTGCTGCTGCTCGTGCTCCCCACCCACGACGGCGGCGCGCCCCCTCCCGCCGCGGCCTTCCTCGCCCGCTGGCTCGAGGAGTCCGCCGCCGACTTCCGCGCGGGGGCGGCGCTGCTGTCGGGGCTCCGCTTCGCCGTCTTCGGCGTCGGGTCGCGGGCCTACGGGGAGACGTTCAACGCCGCCGCGAGGAGCTTCTCGCGGTGGCTGCGCGCGCTCGGCGCCGCCGAGGTGGTCGCCGTCGGGGAGGGTGACGTGGATGGTGGGGATCTCGAGGTCGTGTTCGAGGAGTGGTGTGGGAGGGTGGTGAGGGTGGTGAAAGGGGAGGAGATCGGAGAGGGGCACAACGGAGAGAGCGATGGCTTTGATGAGTTGGAAGAGGAGGAATCCGATGATGACGACGACGAAGAGGAGGTCGATGGCGGGGAGGTCGACATGGAGGACATTGCCGGGAAGGCACCGGCGGCAAGGAGGCGGAATGGGAAGGTGGAGGGGGCTTTGTCCAACGGAGGGGAGAATGGTGTGAGGGACATGGTCACTCCAATCATCAGGACGAGTTTAGAGAAGCAAGTGAGGATCATATTTCTCTACATTTTACGATTGATACATAATGTGCAATTCCAGTTAAGCTTTAGGGCCACATGGAATATCTTGATCACATATGTTCACATCAGTTATGAGTGTTAAGCATGCTTAGTGTAGATGGGTAACATCTATTGGTCTTAACTGTAATCCAAATCTACCCCTTTATTTGTTTCAGGGTTACAAAATTATCGGTTCTCATAGTGGGGTGAAGATTTGTAGATGGACAAAGTCACAACTCCGAGGCCGCGGAGGGTGTTACAAGCACTCATTTTATGGCATAGAAAGTCACAGGTGAAAATTTTGTTTCTGTAGCATTGTAGCAATGTATGCAGAAGGCTTGTTAGATGGTAGCTGCAGTTTCGCTATGTTTATCTTTGTTAATATTTTGCCACTTAGAACCTTGGATATTGTAGAAGAATCATAATTTATATTATGAGAAAATAATACTACGTAGACGACCTTGATTGCTTATCTTATTTTCTATTTTTGCTCATTTTGGCAGATGTATGGAGGCAACTCCAAGTCTGGCCTGTGCAAATAAGTGTGTGTTTTGTTGGAGGCATCACACAAATCCTGTTGGGAAGAGTTGGAAATGGAAGATGGATGATCCTCTCGACATTGTTAATGCTGCAATTGATCAACACACAAAGATGGTTAAGCAGATGAAAGGGGTACCAGGTATGTATGTATCTAAAGTCCTATGTAAATATTCATGATGGTGAAAATGCCTTACATATTGTTACTACCCAAAAATAAGTTAAATGCCTTACATACTGTTACTACTAAAAAATAAGTTAAATCCATGGAAAATCAAGCTGTGACCATTCCATTGCCTGCAAGTTTTACTTGCCTATATGGAAAACAACCTGAACAGGATTCCAACACATATTCTCGCATCAATCATGTCAAAATGCTCCAGTAAGGGATGTCTGCATTTATCAGACGTGAAGCTTCTAAATTTTGCTTTTATGAACACAGCCTTGCAAGAAAACTATGATGCAAAATTTCTGGCAAGAAAATTGGTTTGCCAGTCATGATGGATCTGCAAGCAATATTACTGCAGTCTTTCTTGGCTAAAAATAAAAATGCTGAATTGCTGATCCATGCTTTTTCAGGAGTAAAGCCAGAGAGGCTGGCAGAGGGTCTATCTCCTAGACATTGTGCATTATCTCTGGTCGGGGAACCGATTATGTATCCAGAGATAAATGTTCTGATCGATGAGCTACACCGCAGACACATATCTACATTTCTTGTCACTAATGCACAGTTTCCTGATAAGATTAAGACACTGAAACCAATCACTCAGGTCATATTCGAATTAAGATCTATTTTGGCGTTTAAGTGCTCGGAGCAACAAGCTTTAAAAATATCTTTTTGTATGGTTGCAGCTGTATGTCAGTGTGGATGCAGCTACAAAGGAAAGCTTGAAAGCTGTCGACAGACCATTATTTTCAGACTTCTGGGAGCGTTTTCTGGTAATGCAAAAATACTTCCAGACGCACATCATGAACACAAGGTTTGCATATACTGATCTGTATTGTTTTTCGTGCTATTTACCTTGATGTGGCCCTAGGATTCACTGAAGTCACTGCATGACAAAGATCAACGAACTGTCTACCGGCTGACATTGGTTAAAGGCTGGAATGCAGAAGAGATAGATGGTTATGCAAAGTTACTAAGCCTTGGCCAACCCGATTTCATTGAAATCAAGGGTGTGACATATTGTGGCTCGTAAGTGCCTTATAATCTTCTTTCATGTGGATTGCAGCCTGTCTCTTCAGTTGCTTGTTTAACTACCTTATATTTTGTGACAAATGCTTTCAGGTCAGCAACTTCCAAGTTAACGATGGAAAATGTCCCCTGGCACTCTGATGTAAAAGATTTCTCAGAGGCTTTGGCATTAAAAAGCGGTGGCGTGTATGAAGTAGCTTGTGAGCATGCTCATTCATGCTGTGTTCTACTTGCAAAGGTGGATAAGTTCAAGATCAACGGCAAATGGCATACCTGGATAGATTATGATCGATTCCATGAACTGGTGAGCTTTTCCTCAAGAATAACTAGTAGTCTAGTATGCAACATAGACAAGAAGATAATTCATGTATCTCAATTGGCTTCACCAATGCAGGTGACATCCGGAAAGCCTTTTAGGAGCCAAGATTACATGGCTCTCACACCTTCCTGGGCTGTCTATGGTGCAGAGGAAGGTGGCTTTGATCCAGATCAATCTCGTTACAAGAAAGAAAGACGTCATGGTGCAGCAGCGCTCAAAGACTAACCTATCTCCAATCATTACCAATTTTGTTACCAAGCCCTCGGATTGCTTCCTTGAAGGACTAACCTATTTTCTAGATTTCAATAGTCAAAATTTTGCGGTGGCCTTTTCCATTTCATGGATCTGTCTGTGTGTATCAATCCGTTCCTGGATTAATTGTGTACGCCATAGGCCTATACTAAATATTTTACAACATGGAGCTCTGTTTTATTTCTCTGACCAGATGGTTTAAAAATGTTGTGATGTTTTTCGTGATCTTCAGTGAAATGTAGCTTCCCGGTGCTTTGATGAATACCGTGAAATGTTGCAAAGAACAATACACAGATTATAAAAATTCAAATTATCCTGCTAAACAGTTCAGCTAACACTAAACTCTTCAGCATCTTTCTGGCATGAATGTAAATTGCCATGTATTTTAATCATGTGATTCATGAATATTGGAATTGGCTGTTCTTGCAAGCTTACAATGGAGTACATCTCTGCATGAAACAACAAACAAATATCCCCCTTCCTCGCCAAAATCACCATGAACGTTTTCCTACCAGTAATCTTTACACGAGCAGAGGCCATCCCTGAAATGATGAAACCTCGTGGCGTCCCGCACGATGATCTCCCTGTCCGTGACCTTGGAGATGGCCTTGATCGCGGCGTGGCAGTCGTTGCACACCCGCAGGTTCTTCATGACCCGCAGCGTCGTCTTCTCCGGCGTGCTGATGAGGCCGAACGCGATGGCGAGCTTCTCGCTGTGGCGGCTCAGCAGCTCCTCCTTGAGCTCGTCGTCGACGTCGTGCAGGACGGACTGCAGGTCGGGCACGAACCCGGCCCCCTTGATCTCCTCCCACATCCTCGCCGCCATCGCGTACACGGCGTCCCTCTGCGGGTGCACCACGTCGTCGGCGCCGAAGACGTGGATCTTGCTGCGGATGTGCGTCCAGCTGAACCCCGTCTCCTTCCTCACCGCCTTCTCCTTCCTCGCCTTCCATATCCTCGCCGCGTCGCTCCACCTCCCGCAGGCGGAATACACGTTGGCAATGGCGGAGTAGGCGCCGCTGTTGTTGGGATCGATCGACAGAAGCTTCTCCGCTGCGAGCTCAGCCAATTCTGCGTTCTTGTGCACTCTGCAGGCTGAGAGGAGTGATCCCCAGGCTATTGCGTCCGGCTCAACGGGCATTCGTCGGATGAACTCCTGAGCTTCAGAGAACAGGCCGGCGCGGGCGAGGAGGTCAACCATGCAGGCGTAATGGCTCATCTCTGGTGCAATCTGGTGCTCATTCTTTATCTGATCATAGTACCTCTTCCCTTCATTGACAAAACCGGCATGCGAGCACGCTGATAACACGCCGACATAGGTAATGCGATCCGGTTCCACGCCAGCGCGGAGCATTTCTTCGAAGAGGCCAACAGCTTCCTCTCCTTGGCCATGCTGTGCTAGAGCCACGATCATGGATGTCCATGTGATCGTCTCCTTGCGCCAGCAAACCTGATCAAACATCCTCCTGGCCCATGGGAAGCTGCCTGACCTGGCGTACATGGTGATGATGGCGTTGCTGACTGAACTAGATTGCTCTAGCAATGATCTGATAGCCCTGCAGTGGATCTGCTTGCCGTAATCAAGGCATGCCAGGCTTGCACAGACACTAAGAACAGCAGCCAGAGTATAGCTGTTTGGTTCTGGGCCACATGTGATCATTGATCTGAAGAGATCTATAGCCTCATCGTTGCGGCCATTCTGCTCATATCCGACAATCATCGCAGTCCAGGCAACAACATCTCGGTTATTCATAACACCGAACATTTCCCTTGCACTCTCCATATCCCCAATCTTGACATAGCCTTCCAGGAGGGCAGTGAAGGATATCACATTCAGATCGGTTTCCATTGACTGATCCATGATTCTCCTGGCATTCTCAACACTGCCAGACTTGGCGTATGTTGAAATGAGAGCATTTGTGACCTGGCTATTGTATGCCATTTCAGTTCTCAAGATATATGCATGCACCTGCTTTCCAATCCTTACATTTCCGAGGTTTGCACAAGCTGATAGGACACTGGTGATGGTGAATTCATCCGGCGCCATGGAAGACTCATGAAGCATTCTTGAGAACAACTTCAGTGCCTTGGCATCAAGCCCATTCTGGTTGTACCCTGCAATCATGGCATTCCATGAGACGATGCTCCGGTCTGGCATGCTCTCGAACAAGGATTCGGCAAGGTCCATCCTCCCCAGATGAGTGTTCAGAGATACCATGGCGTTCCAGCTTGACACGCTCCGCACCGGCATCCTTTCAAACACAGTAGTCGCCGTCTCAGAATCCCCACACTTTCCATACATGTTGAGCACCGAGTTCGCCACCGGCACGCAACTACCGAGCCCGAGCTTGACGACGAAGGAATGAACCTTCCTCCCAACTGCGCCGGCCTGTGTCACGGCGCACGACGACAGCACATTTGTGAGAGTGAACTGCGTCGGCGTAAACCCATCAGCGGTCATGTCCAAGAGGGTCTTGATAGCCTCCCCGAACCGGCCGGCGCGGTTGAGCCCGACGACCATGACTGTCCAGGAGACGGCATCCCTCTCAGGCATTTCCGCGAACACGCCGCGGGCGTCGGCCAAGCGCCCGGACTTGGCGAACATCGACAGGAGCGAGTTCCAGGTGAACACGTTCCGCCGCGCCAAGGGGATCTCGTCGAACAGGCGTCGCGCGTCCCGCAACCCACCGGCGCCGCCGGCGGTCTCGCCGTAGTAGGAGAGCAGGTTGTTGCAGAGGTAGGCGCTGGCGAGGAGGCCAGCCTTGACGGCGCGCGCGTGGATGGCACGGCCAGCGCCCGGGTTAGCCGCCGTCTGGCAGAGCTGCAGGAGCCGCGCGTAGTGATCGCTGGCGGCCACCATCGCCGGCCGCGCCGCCGCCGCGGCGTCGGCGGCGTGGAGCTCCAAGGCGGCGGCATCTCGCATGCCGCCGTGCCGGTGCGGATCAGTGGGCCGCACGGCCCACGGGCTTAATAAAGTAGTAGTCCTAGTAGTAATAATTGGTGTTAATTTTAAACTAAACTATGTACAACTACTTATACAAATACTTCGTATATTTAAGTATTTATATCACAAAACTATATATTTTTCACTAAATTTTTCAAGATTTAAAACATCCTATTGTAAAACTGCAGACATCTAAGACCATTTTTACCACAAAACCACAGCTTTTATAACTTCAAATAAATAATAGTGCTATGATCTAACTTTAGTTCTTTCTATAATTTTATCACTAAATCTGTATTGTATTTTATGATATCTTAAATTTATCGAGCGTTAAATCTGTATTAACATTCTTAAATGCGTAGTTTTTACATCAGTTTGTCAAATCAAATTTACTCTAATAAATTAAGTCAAGAGAAAGTAAACCTCCCTGTCTGCGGTTTCCCCAAAGCGCAGGGAGGCATGGCAATAAATTAGGGTAAGACCGAATTGGTTAAAGCGGATTTTACTTTTCTAATCATCACTCGCACTGTCACGCGGCCACGCCACGCCACGCATCTATTCCATCCCATTCTTCTCTCGCGCGGAGGCGGCGGCGGCGGCGGCGGCGGCGACGACGAGGAGGGAGGAAGATGACGGTGGGGATGATCAACGCGAACCCGGTGGTGCACGAGAGGCCGGAGCGCGCCGCCCACCCGCACCCCGCCGACGCCATCGACGCCCTCGACGTCTTCGGTAAACCGTAGTTGCTCGCTCAAATCCGTTAGCTCCACCCCCCGCTAGCTTCAACTGATTGGCGCCGCCGCCGCCGCCTGCAGATACGGTGCGGGACATCAAGGACCCGGAGCACCCCTACTCGCTGGAGCAGCTCAGCGTGCTCTCCGAGGAGTCCGTCTCCGTCGACGAGAAGCTCGGCCGCATCCAGTATGCTCGCACTCCCGTTCCTTTTTGGCGTCGCGTGTGGAGTGAGCTCGTGATAAATCTTTGTGATCTGGGTATGAAATCATGGGGTTTAGGCGAGGGATTTGGTGCTTGATGTTTAATTGTGTTTGTGATGCGACTCAATTTTGGAGTAGCCAAGTACTACTAGCACTTATATAGGACATGACCTTTCCTTAATAATGTCAGAATCCTTGTGATTTTTGAGTGCAAGTGTGGGAAATGTGCATTACTCAGGCAGTTTCAGCTAGCTGGATCAGGATTTGCTTCCTTAGCAAGAGATCGACACATTGAGCAACCAAATATGTGTGGGGATTGACTTGCCTTAGGGTATCTACTTGTGTCAGTTAGTTGCTAGCACGAGGCTGCAATCCCAAGCTTCTTGGACTTCTTTTATTGTGATTTCTGATGTGCCTTAGGGTATCTACTTGTGCCAGTTAGTTGCAACTATCCCTGCCAATCTTTACTACCTTCGTTTTATATTATAAGCTATTTTGACTTTTTTCCAAGTCAAACTATTTTAACTTTCACCAACAAAACTAACTTGGTGCTATAAATCTTATTATATTTTTCTATAAACTTGGTTAAACTTTCAAAAAGTTTGACTTTAAAAAAGTCAAAACGACTTACAAGAGTGTGATGATAGTTTGATACATTTGCTTATTGGGAGCATCCTATGTTACTTTCATCCTGATCTGTACCGCTCATTCTAACTTGTAGAAATGATCGTTTGTCTTGATCCAAGAACTACATCCGGCTTCCTTTTTTTAGAGGACATCCAGCTTCCTTTTTTGGGACACTGTTCACACCTCACAATTACCTGCAGGATAACCTTCACTCCAACTGTGCAGCACTGTAGCATGGCTACAGTGATTGGTCTGTGCCTTCGGCTTAAATTGATGCAGAACTTTCCTCCACATTTCAAGGTGCGTACTGTGTCCAACTAATGAAGGTATTTTACAGTTCACAATTTCATATTATGTCTTTGTGCAATATGCATACCATCAGATGTGAGTTATGTAATCATGCTTGTTTTGGGAAATCACTTTACTCCAGTTGATTTGTGCTATTAAATATGGGATAGATGGAGTCAAATCCTGCAACATATTGTGCATGCTCTTAACTCTAAGAAGCTCCTCTATCGATGCGCATTAAGATATTGTACCAAACCTAATGGGGAACAGTGAAACACTTGTGAGAAATCTGTATGTGCCTCAAGGAACTATAAGTCATCCTTTTGGGGCTCAAAATTTCAACAAAATTGTCATTTTTACACAGAAATATTTGATACGCAGGTCTGGCGACCTTATTTTGATCTGAACTGGAATATTTATTCAACAGAGACATTTCTCCAGAATTTGTTTACTGGTATTCAGTAACATAGATATGACGCTAGTTATGCTTAAACTGACCTTCAAGATGTTCCATATGGCAAAATAGAAATCAAATAAATAAGAGTAAAAATTGCAAAGCAAGATAACTGCTAAATAACATTCTGAAGGTAGGAAAGTCCGGAAAATAACACTCATAGAGGCCATTCCATAAAAAATTTCTCAAGAAATAGAAGGCCCCTCTTCCCCAACTCTCGTTAGGCCAGTGTGTCGTCAATACTCAATAGTGCTCTGAGGAAAGTACAGCGTCGAGTCAGCAGCCATAAGGCCAACCACAATCTTTTTTGTTGTCCTCTGAAACAACACTTCTTACCTATTGAATTGGTTGGCATAGCTTTCCCTTATTTGTCAGAACCTCATCTGACCTGGCGAAGAACGTGGTGTAAGTGTAACAACACTCTGGCATCTGGCCATATCTACAAAATGCTGGAAGCCTCCACCTTATAATATTCAAACTGTATTAACAGGGTCTATTTCATAATTTCATCATTGCCAAATAAAAAGAGAAACATTTCCTCCTGTTCGTAGTTATCCTTAATTTATATTGACTTTAACTATCAAGCATTTTTTTTTACCATGATCCCTCAAATTTTGTTTATTAATATGCAGATTGACATTAAAGTTGCTCCAGGATCTCTTGCTAATGAAGAATCAGGTATGCATGTCAATCTAGTACAGGAATGTAACTCTTCACGGGCTTCATTACAACATTCATGTAATTATTGGTTTCCTCCATGAGATCCAGTCATGTCATCAGAACATTATAGCCATGATATTTTCACGTCATCAATTTTAAAACTTTTTGTTGTCTTTACATGGTGTGTTGAAATATTCAAACAAATAAGGGAAGTAGGGAACCTCAAAAGATTCACAACTTATGTTGGACTGGGATCTGGTGACTTCCATTTGTCAAACGGGGATGCCTCTCCTTCAAAATAGTCCTGTATTTTTGTGCTTTTGTTCCATTGTCTCTCCTAAAGTTTATCTTTATTTTATTAAACTTCCCACGCCATTTATGTTACCTTAAAATTTCAGATTAAAACAATTGTGCAGATTTGTGGAGTTTATAAGGTTTGCTTGATGTATTCTTAGTTATGTGTGCCACATAGGCTCCTATGAGATATATTGGTAAATATTTTCAACATATATCACATAATGGTTGTTGCACGAGACCTACCTTATGGAACCAAGCAGTAATTCTATCAGGAGAATGATAATTTGACACACATTTTCTGGTATTTGGTATTTTTAACAATGTGATTGTTACAATTGGCAGTAAACAAGCAACTGAATGACAAGGAGAGGGTAGCAGCCGCCTTGGAGAACCCCAACCTACGCCAGTTGGTTGATGAGTGTCTTTGTTCCAACGATTCACACTCACACTAACACGTCCTTGCGCCTGCCTGCTGTATAGTAATAATCATGCATGTTGCATGTGCCCTGTGTTATAGCTGGTTATGTATAATCGCGGTTACTATGTGCCATTATTTTTGCCTTCAGAGTTGTATGCAACCGAGAATATACCTTATGCACCAGTCCTTCAGACACATAGTATGGCTATGGCTATGCATATGCTGCTTGAGTGCTTGATGTACCATTCGTATATAAAGAGAGAGAAAAAGGAGAATTATGATGTACCATAATTTAGTGTTTATTGAATCTGTCGATTGTTTTTCGCGCTGGAATTTTAAAATCAGAACTGTTCTTGTTTTGGAATGAGCAAATATATTTTCATTGCGGTATCTGGTGTGTCATGTTTCAGGGGCATCATCCGTTGTTATCACGATTTGAAGTTGTTGATTGATTCATTCCTTGGAACTAGGAAGAGGAGGCGTGTGGTGCTCTATCTATAGCAATTTCAAATGAAGCATAATTGTTGTCTGAATCTTACGTGTGCGACCTATATGCATCATGCGTCTTTATCCTTTACAATGAGTTAATCCACATCTTTCTTCAGTTATGAATTGTCTGTATCCTCCTTTAGTATGCGTCTTTTACGACCTGAATACAATGCCAGTTCTGGAAATGAAAATCTGGCCAACGGCAATGAAAAAAAAAACAAAAAGAAGCATTCGTATGATTATAGTACGCGAACATTATCTGATTTTTGTGACAGCTATTTGAGGATATAAACAAATGAATTAATTCTTAGAGTTGAAAAGCTGTTATAGAAAAGCATTCCAAGAAAATTCAATATAATTTTATTTCACACAAGAACAAGGCCATAAGATTAGAATTAGAGGATGCGAATTTTACAAGATGGCATGATCCAATTCCAACTGGCTGGTACGGCATACCTAACATAGTTTGACTGGACTAAAAAGTGGTGACATAAGCTTGTTCATGCGTAGACATGCTCTCATCCACAAAATCGAGTTGTTTGCTACAAAAATGCTTAGCCATTTTGACCGTTTTTCTCCCCACCTATTTATCAATCTGATGGGGGTAATGACAACGACTCATCGAACAATCAGTAGACAGGCCAGATGTCAGATTGATACGTTAGATTTGCAGCCTTACCAATGTGAGGTTCAGAGTGTCTCGGATTAATTCTTGCCTCGATCAAATTATTTTTGTGGAGGATATTTTCAAGGACTCTGATAAACATCTACCTCTTCTTTAGCTACGTACGGAGTACATCCTTATTGGTGTAGGGATCGGGTTTTAATCCATTATTGAAAAAAAGGAAAACATCTACCTCATCTGATTTCTCGGGTAGAAGGCGTATAGAGATATCTTGAAGTTCTTGAAGCGGATAAGGGATAGCGTATGTAAGACCAATCAAATAGCAAGAAAATGATTTTGAAAACAAAAGGTTATGAAGAAAATCTCAGGAAGATTTGAGAGCTCAAGTTTTCTTCCTTGTGTCACATCACATTTATTTTTTTTATGGAGGATAACTTTGTCAAATACAACATATATCACAACTCATGGACATATCCATGTCATCTGAAACAACGAGTCTAGTTGTATTGTTTGGTTCTCATCCCGGCAGAAAAACATAAAATTTTATGATGAACATAGTAAAATATCATATAAAAATTAAAATGATTAATTATGGTTATGATAAAAAACCTAACCACTTATGCATCTATACACCAACTCCAAACTTCAACTTCCTATTTTTTGCTATCACGCTTCCTAAACTGTTAAACGGTATTTTTAAAAAAAATATATATCAAAGTTATTTTAAAATTAAATAAATCAAAATTTCAAGTTTAGAATAATTAGTACTCCATCTGTTCCAGAATATAAGGAGTTTTAGGGCAAGTTTGGTTTGAGGCCAAAACGGACCTTACCAATATTTGGCCAAAGGTACAATTTAGCATGGCCAATATTTGACAAGGCCAAATTGTGTTTGGTTAAGGGCCAAAACTAACCTTGCCAATTTTTGGCTAAACCAGGTTTGGTTTGGTGCCAACTTTTGTGTGCAGCGTGGAATACATATGGTCAATGTGCCACCGCCAAAGCCTGCGTATGAGTTCAAATTTCAAGCCCGCACTTCGGCTCCCATCAATGACGTTACCGATTCTTTCTCTTCAGGCCGGCCGATATTTGGATCCAAACCAAATTTGTGTTCCTACTGTTTATGTGTCCCATAAATTGGTAAGCCAAATATAGGCCATGAACCAAACTGGCCCTTAGAGTTAGACACGGTTATTAAGAAAGTAGGTAAAATTAAATAGTGGAATATTGTGATTGGTTGAGAAGTGAAGCTAGCTAGGAATGACGGAGAGTTGTGATTGGTTGAGAAGGGAATGTTAGTGGAGGAGTTGTTATATTTTAGGACAAATTTAAAAGGCTAAAAGTTATTATATTTTTGAAACAGAGAGAGTATCTAATTAATCATATGCTAATGAGTTTTCTTGTTTCGTGTGCACTCTAAATATTCTTCTCTCTTAATGAAACAAACAAAGCCTTAAAATCAATAAACACCTACGCGCATGTATCCATGATGAAAAAAAAATCAAGCGTACAGGAATAAACTTAAGTATTTATTTGTTAGTCCTTTCAAAGAAAAAAAACTTTATTTGTTAGGCTGAATATGCCTACCTTTTAACCCATACGAAAATCTTCTCTTCTTGCTACTCCCTATATTTTACAATGTAAATCATTATAACATTTTCCACATTCATATTGATGTTATAGATTCATTAACATCAATATGAACGTGGGGAAATGAGAATGCCAGAATGACTTACATAGTGAAACGAAGTAAGTATATCAAAAGCTTTTTTAATCTATATAGGGTTTAAAACAATTTTTTAACACATAAATAAATCCTATAAAGTTAATATGAGATTTAGACTACGCAAGGAAAAAAAAACACGCGGTAGTTTTGTTCGTTTACCGAATCGGCGACGGGAGATATGACAGCCGCCCTCGCGGTGGATACCGACCGAAGACAAAGCCAACGCGACTCGTCAATTCATCACCCCCCTCCAACCTCCACCACACCACCACCCCCATTTCGTCGACAAGAAAGAGAGAGAAAGACAAAACCAAAAAAAAAAAAAGCAAAAACAAAACGAATTGCTCCCGGAAATTCTCTCCCGAACCCGATTTTTTTATTATTCCCCCCCGATATCCTGATCCGGCCGCCACCGCCGCCTCCGCCCCCTCGCCGCCGCCGGAGCCCCGCCTCGAAGCGGAGGAGCCATCCCGCGCTCGTCGGAGGCACCGGTGTGTGTGTGTGTGACGGCGACGGCCTCCTCCCCGCACGCGCACGTCGGCGAGAAGGTCTGGTGGGGCGACGCGCGCGGCCTCCGTGTCTCTCGGCTTGGATTGGAATCGAATTGAAGGTATTTTAGCCTTCCTCGTCCGCTTCCAATTCATCAACCGGCGTGGATTGGGGATCCATCCGGACTTGATTGATTTTCTTCAGGATTAATACGGCGTCAGTTTGTTTTACAAAATTTGGGAGAATTTAGGGGGGTTCATTAGGTCGGGCTGATCAATTGAACTGATTCTTCTTTTGCAGATGCTGGAACTGGAGCTGTCCTATAGGCTATAGAAAGAGAAATTTATTCATGTAGTGTAATACATATGTTTGGATCCGTGTCGGCGTGATAAGGAATCGTGTCGAATTGGTACCAGAAGGTTGAAAAGATGGCTGATGAGGTGGCTTTTGAGACTGCCAGGAAGATCATCATGCACCCGCTTTATACGCCGAGGTCTTCGCCGTGGCTTGACTTGAAGGTGTTCTATGTAAGGGTGAGCAATTGCGAGGTGGATGAGTCTGCGCCGGACCGTCTCACGCTCAACCACATCCCGCTGTCTCCCGATACGGTTATCGAGGTGAATGGTCAGCGGAGTAGCATGCACACCGAGTTCATCTCTTCATCCCTCAGGAGGGACAGGGTTGACAAAATGACCGAGGAGGCTACATTCGTGAGCACAGATAGTATAAGGATGACAGGGAGTGTCAGGTTTCAGGTGTTCGATAAGAACGATCTGCTGCTCACAGGCGACCTAGAGTTGTGCAGTGCCAATGGAGTTGTCGGGGAATCGAAGAACAGCAGCAAGAGATGGAATATGAAGTGCCAACCAGCATCATCATGCAATGGTTTTCTCAAGGGGAAGCCGTCCACAGCTTCAGAGTCTGTACATCCTGTGATAGAGGTTTATCTTGCTGGCACTTTCTGTGGCACACCTATTATATTAACAAAGACTGTGCAGCATATATCACGGAGGAAATCCCAAATGAAACTAAAGCTTGATTCCATCCCTGAGAATGAGGCAACTGAACAACAAAAAGAAGAGTTAAATGAGGACTCTTTGCAGGTACCTGCTAAGCATGTTTGAAAGTTTTTATTTGTCTACAATCTCAAACTCCCCATTTAGGGTTTTAGGTAGTCTATAGTCTCATATTTGGGAGGTGATGGATAGCTTTGAATTCAAGAGACTCCTTTTCCCCCTAAAAAGCAGTGAGGCAACTGTGCATAAGAAACAGTGAAATAGTTTGAGCATTTTTTTGCAGCATGTTAGTTTAGCTAAGAGCCAACTACAGATAACATATGTTTCAATATGAGGAGTATAAACAGACCCTTTTAAATTTTCCAATGCATATACGTGTTGTTATGCAAGTTTCTGTGAAAACAACACTATATCACCATAGCCATGTCATTTCCCATGTTCTCTTTTACAAGGATAACAGAGAGACTAGAATCAGTCTAGGAACAGTTGTTAATCCTTATATAAGCTCAATTATCAGTACTTGTACCATATTCATATACAGTGCAAGTTGCAAAATACATGGAGGGTGTGCACGCATCTCCATCACTTTTTTCTCTTGGCTGATTGATGCAGATCTGGTTGCTATTTTACATGCACATGAGATAAAATGAACTGTAGAAACAGCAGAATATTAATGGTTTGAAATGCTATTTTTTGTTTTCACTCTGTCAAACTGATAAATGTATGTTAATTATATATGGGAATCAGTTAGCTGTCGTCATGTCGTATGAGAGCACCCAATGCACAAAGTATCAATACATTGATCTGTTTGACTATTTAAAGTGGAATGTCATTTTTCACTTTTTGAAAATGATACTGTTTAATTTAGATTCAGAGAATAATGATAACAGATATGAGTACATACTGTAAAGGTTGGTAGTAGTTGGATCATTTAGTAGTACTGTCAGCATAAGTACTGCTGTAGTGGATAATGTGAAAAATGTGGCTCCAGGGAATATCTCAAGCAAGTTGCAAAGTATATATGGACAACATGGAGAAATTTTTTTGTTACATTCATGCATATAACATTCAGCGTACTAATTCACCCTTAGTTCTAAGCCAACATATAAGGCATATCCTTCTAGTTAACTCTATGTATCCTAGATAATAAATGATGCCTAACTTGTCAACTTCCTTGGAAGGTAAGTAGGGTACCTTCACTCAATAGCCTATAGAGACACTAGTTTGACTTTCCCAGGTTAATGATTTAGGGTGACTGTTGACAGCATTGCTGCTATGAATATGTGTTGTAAAATAATACTCGCCTTCCAACTAAATTGTTAAGTGTACAGCAACTAGCAACACCACAGCCTTTAGCAAGAGAATGTAGGGAGAATGCAAGCTAGATTGCTATCAACAATTAATTGCTTAATTAGGTTGATGCCCACAGTTCTCGTTATGCTTATGTGTGGCCGTATTCCTGGCGATATTAGAAATTAAATCTTCATTTTGATTACATCCTCAACTCTAACTGGCTGTTTTTCTCTTACTTTGCCTATTCATTCATGTTAAGTATATTTTGTTTTAGCAGTGAATTTGGTAAACCCAGGGTCTATTGATAAAAGATAACCAGTAATTGCTAGTATAGCTTAAGTATCACCTCCTTCACTGTTAACGATGATAGGAACATGCTTTTCTCTGTCCATGCTTGAATGTTTTCATTGAGACATTTGTTGCTATTCCTATAAATATGATGCACCAGTCCAAATAACAGTGACATGTATAATGGGTAGCAATCAATAGATTTATGCTTCTGTTTTGCAATCTTGATTGCAAGTGATGCATTCTTTGATTCAGTTCTTATCTCGCAGATATTTGATAGTTTGTACCCTTTCCTTCCATATCGCTCATTTCAGGTATCAGAATCACAGAATCCCAAATCTGAGCAAGATGTGGATGTTGATTATAACAGCTTGTACTCGAGGCAGGACTTTATAGAGGGCGAGGACGGTGAGCTTTCATGGTTTAATGCTGGTGTCCGAGTTGGGGTTGGGATTGGCCTTGGTATTTGTGTGGGTGTTGGATTGGGTGTTGGCCTGCTGGTCCGGACGTACCAAAGCACCAGTAGGAACTTCAGGCGGCGATTGCCCTGATGGCCAGACCACCCCATGAATGTAGATGTGTCTTTATCTTGTTCTGTAGGGAACTAACTGTCCAACCATCTTTCCTGTTCATGCTTGTGGTAGATATAAGTGAGGCTTTTTGTTCTTCGATTCTGCAGTCACTCTGGAATCTGTTGCTCTCTTGTCTGCAATGCCAATCATTTTTGCTCCCTTGAGATGTAAATATTAGTCTGTATGGCAAATAAAGAGTCGAATCACTTGCTGCTACCTTGAGCCATCAAATGGTTCTTAAATGTGTGCTTGAAGGAAATTAAGTGACCGACAAGTGCAGAGGGTGATGTTGCACCTACAAATCGTTGCATGTTATGGCATCTTGTACATATATTACTTCGATTAGGTGACCAGTTATTTGTGTCATATGGTTAGTTATTTGAGCTTTTTCCAGATTTTGGACCATGTACACCTGTGGATGTACTCGCTTTTAGGTTTGTGGGTTTGTCTTTAGGCAATGTGTCAGAATGTTTTTTAGTCCTTTTCTGTTTCAGATGCAATCTGGCAGACAATAGTCTCTACTGTATACTACTCTCAGTTTCTTCTTGTTTCTTAGTCAGCGTCAGTTATCAAGCTATGCATAAAGTATTTGGAGAGATGGTATTTAAAGCGAACCTTGTACTGTATCTCCATTGATGGTATCAATAAAGCTGGTATAGCATGGTATAACTGCTTTTGTTTTCTCTAATTTATAACCAAACTTTGCAAGACAAAAACCTCACGAAAGAAACATTGTGATTTGTTGCACCAAACTATCAACATCTTTTTAAGCTTTTGCAGCCCTGGAAATACTAGATTACTACTAACGTGTCACATCTTAGTCTACCCTCTCCTCTGAATCGATATGATTCTTTAACCAAAGATATCTTTTTCAGAAACTCTCCTGACCTATACTTGCCACCAAAAAGTTACACTAAAGTTGTTCACATTTCCCACAACATCCACAAGGGACATGCCACCATAGTAAAAAAAAAAAAAGAAAATCACTCCCCACTAACAACAAACCTAATCAAAAAGCTACAGCTACAAGGCTCATCATCAAGGATGATTCCAAATGCAAACAATCTTTCTTGCTTTGCTTGCATTCTGGTGAAACTGAGGATGCAAACAGGTCAGAGTGATGTGTTACTTCCAAGGCAATCTTCCACTGAACAGGATGCATCATCCCAGATGAGATGAGACATCTCACCTCACTGTAGGAGACTCACTGAAGCAGATCAAGGCAAAAGGTGAGCCAGGATAATGAGAGGTTGAACACAATGACTCACCAACTCGAGGAAAACTACACTGTACTTTTTTTTTCTTTTTCTTTTTTCTGTTCTTCAGGCAACAAACTGGCTGTGATTTCATGGTGCAGGACAGCTGCAGGGGAGAGGGAGAGGAGGGTGTTTTCTTCTCCCTGAGAGCCGGAGGCAATGGCCAAGGTGCCTGATCTCGGCTCCGACTTCGCCCAGAAGCTGCTGCTCGACCTCCGGCGCCGCCGCGAGAGGCTCGGCTTCGACTCGCCGGCGCCGCCGCAGCGCACGTCGTCGTCCAACGCCGCCGTTCTTCCTCGAGGTACGTTGTGTTCCCCACCTTCTTTGAGTTCGTCCTCTCTGAATTCTGAATTCTGAAGAATTCATGTTCAGATATCAGTCGTGGAGATAATTTTTTTTTGTCAGTGAGATAAACGCTGTCCTTTTATTTTTGCTAATTATTTTTCCAATGGCACGCGAAATTACGATGAACAGTAAATTTTCTTGAAACTGAACATACTGCAGAAGTTCTGAAATTGCACTCGTCTGTACAGATTCTCATTCGAGTTCTCAGAGGCCACATCGAAGCCAGAAGCCACAACAAGCAGCTCCTCGAGCAGGAAGAGCAGAAGCAACAGCAAACAGATCAGTAAGCAAAGAATTCCAAACGATACTCACCAATCTGCTCCCAAATTCATCTCCCATTTCACTTTTTTCTAGCTTTCTTTACCCAATTTGCTCTGTGATCACAGCACCCACAGAGCGGCAATGCCATTGCCGGAGCCGGCAAGCCGCGCCACCGCGCCACGCCGGTCGCCAATTCGCACCAAATCGTGCCATTCCAAGGAGGAGGCAGCGCCAAGCAGAAGCCCGCGAACAGCAGCATCGACGTGCAGATGGCGCTGGCAATCGCTCTCAGCAACAGAGGCAAGCTCCAGAACATCGAGCTCGTGTCGCGCAACGGCTCCATCTTCTTCAGGGACACGGATCACGCCATGCCGGAGAGCCACCTCGTGTCGCCCAGCGCGCACGTCGGCAAGGTGGCGATCGGCGTCAAGAAGCTCAATGACATCCTCATGGTGTACTCATCGGGCGGCGGCGCGAGGGACACGGGCAGGAGGAGCTCGGTTGACATTGGGAGGGAGCTCTTCGGAGGAGCCATGGATTTGGAGGAGTCACTAAGCATGCTTGTGATGCTTCAGGAGGCATCAGATTACATGGAAGGATCCGGGAATGGCAAGGTGTTGCTACTGGAGGGCAAGGAGAACTTGAAGAACTCGGCGCGTTCGCCGAGTTCCGCAAGGCTGGTGGAGATTGTTGATGAGGATTCAGAGGCCGAGCAAGCCAAGAACTCGAAGAGTCTGTCAATGCAGATAGTTCCTCACAAGAATTCACAAGGTTTCAGTACTCCAAACAGCTCATCAGTCTTGCAGGTCTCTACTGTTACAGGCAACAATTCCAGGAGCAATTCTTCTAAAGCTGACAAGGATGATGCAAAAGTCAGGATGCCTAATGTGATTGCCAAGCTGATGGGATTGGACAATCTTCCATCAACCAAGGTAGCAAACAAGGGCATGGAGAAGTTTGTGAAACCTGAAGCATTGTCAAGAAAGGATAGGAGGACGAATTTGGTCGGCGGCAGATTGCCGATTCAGATTATAGGTTCAGAAAGGGTGTCATCCAAAGGACACAACATGAATTTGCTGCCAGGTGAGTGGAAGATTGGCCTGAAAAATTATGAAGTATACAAAAGTGCTAATTTGCAGGTGTCTAATAGTTCATCGATTCCTGCGGCTGATAAGCAAACAAGGCAAACCATGAGACAAATGTTAAGCAAAATGGAGAATGCAGAGAGAAGAGGTAGTCTAGGACAACAACTCCATGAGGAGAAGAAACTGACTGAAGAAACTAATCAGCAGAAGGTTGCGAATGTTGGATGCCGCACCGATGCAGGGAAAAAGATGGATTTTCTGAAAAGAATTAGGAAAATTTCAGGCAGCAGACAAGTCACTGAAGAGAAGCACATTATTCAAGAAGAGAGCACAACAGGGAAGAAGCAAACTACAAGCATGAAACAATTGCTGGGCACAGACAGTGAGGATAAATCTAAGATAACTAGAGTTAAGTTTAACAAGGAAAACCTTGCCACTACTGAAATCAAGAATGCAGCAAGAGGGAAGAACGGCAAAACAGATCAACGGAAGCGGCAATCATACAATAAACAGACAGATGTACATAGCATGCCAAAGAAATCTCAGAAATATCGTGAAATGAAGAGTAAAGAAGGCATTCAGAACTTAGAGCACAAGAGGTCAACAAAGTCAGAAGCGACACAATTGAAAATTCTCCCATATACTGCAGAGATACAGCAAGAGAATGGAAAGCATGAAGAAGATAATGATATTGTCAAGCCATCAGATAGCCATGGGGATGGAGGTATTTCTGAGCAATTTGCAGGAATGGTGGAAGACAGCAGAACAACTGGAATGGCTTCCCCAGACCAATTTATGAAGCAAATAACTGAAGTGACCTCAATTGATGTGCATGCAAGTGATAGATCAAATGTGGTAGATCAGAGTGTAACTCAAACAAATGTAAGTTTGTCATCCTGCATAAATACTTTGTGCACCCATCATATCAGTCTAATGAAATGTGTTTTCTTTTCTGCAAGTGCAGGATGACACAAGTTCTAATACAGCTAGTGAAACTACACAAACACCAGAGACATTCACAGAGGGGGAACATCACCAAAATCTGCAATTAGTGGAGTTTAAAGAGAAACCGTTGGATGGTATCATATTCTTGACCAGTTTCTGTTAAATGAACTTTTGAAAATCTACTGCATGTATAACACTGAATGCTTTATTACAGATTTGGGTGATGCCAAAGAGACCAGCAATCCAACGGATTTGCAAGACCAAAAGATGCATGTGGTCTCGTGTGATTCATTCACAGAGAATCAGCTACTGCTTATGAGAATGTTGCTAAAGGATCAATACTTGCTTGAAACTGCAAAGGCTCTTGTCAGAAATCCTGTCCCTGTACATTTTGTCAATGCCAGTGCAGATAGATGGTCAGAGAAAGGCAGCTCTCTTTTTTCAGATATAGCGCGGGAAGTTATCAGAAAGAAAGGTAAAAGAACTGAGGCAATTGTAGAAGTTAGCATGGCAAACACAACTAACATGAAATTGCAATACTTGGATGATCTTATCATGGAACTGGATGGAGATATTGAGAGCCTGAACATCTCCAAGAAATCTCAACATCTGGGTGAAGATTGCACAGCTGAAAATTTGCGAATGATACTTCACAGGGACATGCAAAACAATCATCCGGATGCTAACTCGATGTGGGATTTCGGTTGGAACCGCATTTCTGACCTTCCGATTGAGAGAAATGAAGTCGTCAGGGATTTGGAGAAGAACATATTGGGTGGCATGATCACAGATGTAGCAAGGGAGCTAATTGAATTATCAGTACGCCATGGGTGCTGTGCCTGTGAGGCCTGAGTGAGTGTCAGACTGACTTTGAAACGTGATACAAGAGTTGATTTCTGAAAGTGATTGATCTTAGGTTAGATTTGTATATTTACCAAGGTTTTCCAGTAAATATATACATATATTTTTGCAAGATTTCTGTACATAGAGGAATTTGTACGTGCGTTGAGCAGCAGCATTCTCTGCCTGTCTTGACTACTAGTACCTCATCTCTATCTGTGTGCTTTCTTTCTCGGATTTATTGCTGCTTGTACCTCCTTTCGCTGTCATTGGAACATTACAGTTTTCTGTAGTTGTCGCAACTGCAGCGTCAATCCGTCACCGGAGAGGGTCGCCGTCGACCGGGCAGGTCTGCTACGATTAACATTGGGCCGAATCGTGTTTACGGGCCCGAGCACACGAGCCCAATATCATGGCCCATTTGTAGGGCCTCCGTTTGGCCCACGGAGGATTTTGTTTCGCTATCGCTCTCGCGCGCCGGCGCGCGGCGAGGCAGCGCGCGCCGCCGTGGATCACAAGCATGTCATGGTTCGTAGCAATGATGCCAAGTCTACCTCATGCAAGAACACGCACGAGACATGGCCGGCGTCTCGCACGCCGCCGGCGGCCGGCGCGCGGCGGAGGACGGCGAGCTCTCCCGTCGCGAGGCTGAACCGGGCGAGCCCGCCGCCTCCCTCCATCCACAGGATCCCGACGCCGCTCCTCTCGGCGAACCCCATGAATCGTGTCGTCGACCGCAGCCTGCCGGACTCGTCGAGGCGTATCGGCTTCCACGATTCGCCGAAGAGAGTCTTGCCGATCCCTCGCTGGACATGGATCGCCACCGCCTGCTGGCTCCACCGATCGGCCTCCTCCTCCGCCTCCGGCGACGGCGACAGCGTCCACACCGATATGGCCTACATCCCCGCGGCCACCAGCCTCAGCCTCCCGTCCGCCGCCGAGCCGGCGAGATGGAGGCCGTGGACGTCGAAGGCGCCGGTCTTCCCGCCAATGCATTCACGCGGCAGCTCCGTCACCGTCCCCCGGGCGGTGTCGGCGTCGACGGAGAGGACGACGAACGCGTGTTCGCCGGAGTTTGGTCGGGATTTATGGCAGAGCCAGTGTACGGTTCGTCCGGTGACGGCGGCGCTGCAGCCGTCCACCCGCGCGCCGAGCCGCGGGTGGTCCGGGGGCATGGCGATGGCACGGCGGGCGCCCCATTTACCGTTCTGTGATTGGTACGTCTGCGTTGTCAGGTGACTGTCGGCGACGAGCAGCTCGAAGGAACAGCCGGCGCCGGCGCCGGCGACGGTGAGCAAGGCGGGCGGGTAGGTGAAGTCGTCGTCGCAGAAGCTCAGGGTAGGAGGCGACGACGTGTTCCCGGTGAGCATGTTACAGACGAGCAGCTCAAGTGGTCGAGTCTTGATCGCACAAAGTTGGCCAGCGCCGCCGCCGCCGGAGCTCGCATCCCGGTGCTCGCGGCGGAGGACGAGAATGCCATCGCGCGAGGCCACCGGCGTGAACGATCCCAGCAGGCTCTCGTCGAAGCGTGCGCGGCGGCCGTATGCCTGGACGAGACGTCTATCATCCTCCGCGCCGCCGTGCTCGTGGAGCCGGTAGGAGACGCCGAGGAGGAGCGCGGGGTCGAAGCCGCCGTTGGCGGCAGCTTGGAGCGCCAGGCGGCGGCGGAAGTCGTCGCCGAGGATGATGCGGCGGAGGGCCTTGCATGTGGCGGCGAGACTTAAGACGGTGGCGGCGTCGCAGCGGGCGACGATCTTGAGCAGGACGTCGAGCGGGAGATCCAGCAGCGACGGCGACGACGACCGATCGCCGGCCGCGGCCCCAGTCTCGTGGCATGCGTGCAGGTCTCCCGTTGACCCCGTTGATGTGGTGACCTCGTTCGGGCATACGCAAGCTCGCCGGCGCTTCGTCGACATGGCCGGAGTTTGGAGATCGGCGAACAGCGAACGATGCAGTCGGCTATAGATATTGTTAAGTTTTTTATAAACTTGATGAAACTAAAAAAGAATTGATTAAAGGAAAATTCAAAGTGATTTATATAATATAAAATAGAGAAACCGATTTGTACATGTATTGGAGTCCGCCAATGAATTCGACCAAGAGACGTATAGCTAGTTGGAATCGGTTTACTTGTACTACTACTACATATTTGGCGCTGCCTGAGTAGCTCAGTACAGACGCATATTGTGCCTGCCAACGAGAGAGTACCTGTTCCATACGTGCCGGGATAGATGGCAGCAAAACGCCTACGAGACGGCTCGTGCTTCGACGAGAATGCCATGCAGCCAGCGGCAAAGCGGCTACGTGCACGCGCGGCGGCTACGGCCGAGGCGCGGACGACGACGACTCTCCCGGTCGATCTCCTGCTCGAGATCGTCGCGCGCTTGGACGCCGCGACCACCGTCCGCTGCGCCGCCGCCGGCAAGTCCATCCGCCGCGCCATCCTCGACCCGTCCTTCCGCCGCATCCGCCTCGCCCTCCGCGCCGCCGCCAACGGTGCCGGCTTCGACCCTACCCTCCTCTTCGCCGTCTCCTACAAGCTCGCTCGCTTGGACGATCCACCCGTGCTCATCGTCGAGGACCCACAGTCGGCGGCCGGCGGCGCTGCTGCTCCGTTCGCCATCTCCGGCAAGTTCCTCGGCCACATAGTCGAGCCGCCGCCGCCGTCGTCGTACCGACCCGTCCTCCCTATCTACAAGTCATACGACTCGGAATTGAAGCACTCGGAGACGGTGGCGTCGCGCGACGTCCTCGTCGTCCTCCGGGAGAGACCAGTCGGCGTCCGTGCATTCTGCACCGTTCCTCGTCAGCAGCTGTGCATCTGCAACAGCCTCACCGGCGACACCACCCGCCTCCCCATGTCGGACGTCGTCGACGACTACCCGCCGGCCTTCCTCGCCACCGGCGGCGCCGGCCGCAGCTACGAGCTGCTCGTCATGGACAAGAGGCTGCAAACCCAGACGTTCTCGTCGGAGGACGGCAAGTGGGGAGCCATCCGCGCCATGGAAGAACTACCTCACCCGATCTCATCGCCACTCTACGCCCATCGCCCACTGGTCGTCAGCCGCCGCAACGCCGTGTATTGGCTGTGCCCGCAAAGGCTGGGCGGGGTCACCGCCGACCTCCACATCCTCGCCGTGGACGTTGGCGCCGACCGCCGTCGTGCGTCGCGGATCGAGCTGCCGCCGGACTGCCTCAGTAGGATGAAGCCCTTCGGGTGGCAATCCGACGGGATCATCCTGGCGCCCTCGCCGTCGCCGGACGGGGAGCTGAGCTTGATCGTCGCGGAGGTCCTCGTGATATCGCAGTGGACGCTGCTGCCATCGTCGTCGTCGTCATCGTCGGAGGGGGGGTCGCCGGCGGCGAGGTGGAGCAGGCAGGTGGTGATCAGCAGGCTGGCGATCGACAGGCAGGCCGGGCACGACATGTTCATGGGCGTCGTTTGCTTCCATGGACTGGGGCTCGTGAGCGGCGCCGTGCTCATGCAGGTTCGGGTGCTGGACACCGTGCTCATCGCCCTACTCCACCTTGCGTCGAAAGAGTGCCTCATCCTGCGGCGCTGGGACAAAATGAGCAGACCCTCGGAACTGTGCTTGCACGAGATAGATCTGGCCTCTGTGCTCCAATCCATGTAAGCATTTTCTGATATGAAAACTCTCATTTCCTTCAAGTTGATGTTTACCCTCCAGTTTTGAGATGCTGGAGTAGTTGATCAACGCACTAAATTAATTTATTTTGAGATGTTGTATTACTTCCTCCGTCCCATAATAAGTTAGCAATAGGATCTTTTTAGATTGCTACCAAAACATGCTCTTTCGATGTCAAGTGGTAGCAGCACTACCAGGGTTTGGACCGGCCTATGTTCGAGTCATGTCTCGTGCGTGGGTTATCTTACCATTTTCTCTCTCTATCAATAAAATAACATGTGCTGATTTCCTTCTCAGTTTCTCTCTCATTATCTATTTATAATTCTATTCAATAACATGTGTTGATTTCCTTCTCAGTTTCTCTCTCATTATCTCTCATTATCTATTTATAATTCTATTCAATAACATGTGCTGATTTCCTTCTCAGTCTCTCTCTCATTATCTAAAAAAATATTTCTCTCTCATTATCTAAAAAAAATAGGTGCTAATTTCCTTCTTAGTTTCTCTCTCATTATCTAAAAAAATAGTATTCAATAACATGTGCTGATTTCCTTCTCAGTTTCTCTCTCATTATCTATAAAAATAGGTGCTAATTTACTTCTTAGTTTCTCTCTCATTATCTAAAGATAGGTGCTAATTTCCCACATTAGCTAATTTCCCTTATCTTAAAAAATAGGTGCTAATTTCTCTCATTATCTAAAAAATAGGTGCTAATTTCCCACATTATCTAAAAAAATAGGTGCTAATTTCCTTCTTAGTTTCTCTCTCATTATCTAAAAAATAGGTGCTAATTTCCCACGTTTTAGGTTTCAAAAAAAATGCTCTTCCGATGTTTTGGTAGTTTGAATAGTAATATTTATGTTTGGTTTGGATTGAAGTCAATTTATTGGTAATGCTCATGTTAAATTTGACATCAATCTAGAGCATTCTACACTATAATTCACATGTTAGTTTCATATTGGTAGCAAATCAAATATAACCAATACAATAAAATTCTACCAAAGAATTGGTAGTGCCAAAACTTATCTTAGTTTTGATGCTACCAAATAATTAGTAAGGTAGTAATTCATAAGTCTATAGTATAAAATACAACTTAAATTAATTTATTTTAAAACGGAAGGAGTAGAAGTTGGACTGTTGCATCGGTTACACCATGAGTCATTCAGCAAAAGAGAAAACAACCGGAGTACAGACAACCAGAGTACAGCCGTACAGATACGAGCCAATCCACATCCCCTGCCCCATAGAGAAAACAACTTAATCTATGCACTAGTGAGAAATATGTAGCAAAACATATATTTGTGTAGATATGAAACAAGCTTGTGAGAGATGCAGCCTAGCTAAATGAAACGGTTGTAGAGATCCAGCTATGGTAAGGTATGCAGTATAAACAATTTAACTTATAGCTAGTGATAGGTAAGATAGAAAAGGGAAAGTAGGACTATCCTACATGAACCAAATGGAATGTCTTTTGTGTGTTCGCGAAAGAAAAATGGTTGGAAAAAACACTGACACTTAATCTACAACTATATAACTACAATATGGTAATGTAAGCGTTATCAAAGTTTGGGTACCTCTTCTTTTTCCCCTCA